CAAGGCCAGGCTGGATGAGGCTTGGAGCAACCTGGTCTATGGAAGGTGTCCCTGCCCATGGCAGGGGGTGGGACTGGAGGGGCTTTAAGGTTCCTTCCAACCCAAACCATCCTGTGATTCCCTCTTTGCTGGTTTATGTAAACTGTAAAGGTGAAAAATCACTGCTAAAAGCAATTTGCAACAAACAACAGAGTCAAAGTCCCAGGTGGTTGTGAAAGAAGCCAGCGGGTATTCAAATTCTGAGGTCGAAGAAATGCTCGTGCAGATTATTACCTTGGGTTTTGCCAGAAGCACTTCCCTCCTTGACTTAGCAGGCGTGGGCAGTGGGATTGGGGACGGGGTGCTGGGTTCATCCCTGTGTCCAGGAGAACATGGCTGTGTTTGGGGAGGATGCACGGAGGTTCCAGATCTGAAAGTAGCTCCTCGGGGGCTTGCGGATGAAAGGACCGAAGATGCTGTTGGCAGAGGAGCTGAGCCCAGACCCACGTTTGATGTAAGTTCTGTCTCTGGGCTGGTTGCAAATATATCAAACGCTGCAGTGAAGTACGGGATAGCGCGAGCTGTGAGCTCTCCGCCACCGTTCTGGCTGTCAGCGATCGGAGGATGAGATCCAGCCTTAGTAATTAAGAGTCTGACTTTATGGGGATGATGATTCCCACTTCCATAAAGAAGAATTTTATCTTCTCGCCTTTATTTTGTCTCTTTGATCAGCCAGACCTCTCTGCCACATCTTGAGCTCACAGATGTATTCTGGGGTTTTATAACCACTCATTTACACATTCATAGATGCTAATACATGTCTAGGTTTCCCTTTCAAACCCAAGCTTCCTGATTAATTTTAGGATTTTTGCAGAGAAGGGACGCGGTCCTGCAGCTGTTGTTGGGGTAAAATCAATTCAACCTACCGAAGGAGCGCAGGATTCAGCCAAAATGAATTCTGAAGGTTGAGAGGGGTCATTGCTAGTTTGGAAGACCTTTCCCACAGGTTTTCGCCTAGCTGTTAGGTTGCACCCTGTGAGAGCCCAGATGACTGATGGCCTGCCGAGGAGCAAATGACAGCAGGCGTGGCGCCTGTGCGGGCTTTTTCCCTTTTTTTCCCTGATGGAGAACACAGATGTCTAATTGGAATAGGGTATTTATTAACATAAGCTCCTTGGCTGTTCAGAAATCGGAGCTAATCAAAATACTGTAAACACCATGCCTGGAGAAATGTCACCCTTCACCGTGACTGCATTTCCATCTTTTTTTCCCATCCTACTTAAGAAAGTGTAAATAAATATTTACAGCCTGCTGTGGCCGACGCGTGTCCTGGTCGCGGTATGCGGCGTCACGAAGGTGAGCGCGGACGGGGAGGCGAAGGCAGGGCAGCGCCGATGCCCGGCCCCACGCCGGTGGGCGCTTTAGGGGCCAAATGTTGGGTTTTTTACCTTGATGACTACAACTTTTATTGCTAGTAACAATTTCCATGTGCTTGCTGTAACGTGTAGTGCCTGATGCCTCAAATATAAAGAAGCCTTTCGAGTGATCATAACTCCAGAAGTTGAATCGTTATAAAAGGTGGTTGGAATTGAAAGGCATATTAATTTGTCATTATTTCAGTTCCAGAGAGCAGCTGAATAATTGCACTGCCTATGAAGAGAAAGTGTGTAATGCTTTCTTTCATTATAGGATTAAATTGTCTCCCTTCCCTTTTAATCTAAGTGAAAATAAAGATATCTCTGATATCTTCTGTTTTGATCATAATTTGAAAGCTCCAGAATGGCTGGTGCAACTTTGTTTCATGGCGTTGAGTGTAACATTAATTATTTTAATGTTAAAGCATCAACACTGGACTCATTTCTCAAAGTGTAAATCTGAGATCCCCCACGCTCGCTGAATGAGAAATTCCTCATCGGCCAAACAGGCGTTGGGTCACGAACAAGGCAGGTTTTGCAGGTGTGATAGGCTCTGAAACAAATCTAAATTGAGGGCCTAATGAATGTATGCTTTTTTCAAATTGTTACCGCCATTTGCTGTCAAAAATACAAAACTCTCCTTAAAATTGCAATTATGTTTTAGGTAGAAAGAGGGTTTTTAATGTATTGTTTTAGAATGGAAGCGTCCTCATTGCTGACATCACAATGTCTTTAGTCGTTAGAGGGAAGATGAGGGTTTGTCATCACGGCTGGGTCTCTCTGCAGCTCTGATGGTGGAAGAGGCAGCGGGCGGGTGGGCTCCGTCCCCTGGGAAGGGGAGCGAGATGCTCCGGGGGCTGCCTGGGCAAGGGTGGAGGCAGAGGCATGGGCAAACCTCAGGGGTGCAGAGCTCCGCACCTGGAATGGCAGGGTGGAGGGTGACTTCTGCTTCGGTTCTGTCTTACAGCCTGAAGAACCAGTAGTAGCTCATCAGTCGAGACAAGGGAAACCTCCGAGGCTGCTTCCGCGGGGAGGAACTGGTCAGCAAGGAGAGGATGCTTTCTTGGACAATGATCCTGTGTGGATTCGATAATTAACATGTAACTAACCTTCGCTTTGGACAAGTACATGGAATTTTTTTTTTAATTTTGTGGTGAGTTAAAATATTTCAATGGATTTTTTTACCCTTTCAAGATAATATTTATTCAGCACAGAGTCTAGAGTATGATAACTTATCCTGTAAATACAGCACTTAATCATCACTCATCTTCAGAGACAGTGGAAACAAAATATTTTACTTTTTCATATTTATTCTTAGATTTCTTCCGAGAATATAAAATAATTCTATTACATTATCCATGATAGTGATGTAATCAGTCTTCAATCAGAAATAAACATACTTTCTTCACCTCCTCCAGCATGGTTTGTGTCAACACATACAGAGCAGCAAAAAACGAATCACGGGGATTGTGTAACGGATGAAGTTTTTTCCTTTCCTCTTTGTCTTCAGAGAAGCAAATGGTTCACTGAGCAAAGAAAACTAAAAGGA